GCCCGAGGCTGCCCGGGGCGGGGTCGTGGCGCCTGCGAGTGACAGAAGCCCCGTGGGGCATCCAGGAGTCCTGGAGAAGACCCGCCCCCCGCAGCAGGGGCGGATCCAGAATTTGGCAAAGGGGGTGCGCCCCCAGCTGCAGCCCTGTCCTGCTCTGCGGGCACGAGCCCGGCGCCGTTGTAAAGTTCCCGAAGCAGATGAGCGTCCCCCTGCCTCGCTCAGAGGCGTCCGCCCCCCCTCTCTCTGTTCGTCTTAGCCCAGCCCCACACAAGTCCTCCTGGACCGGGAAGGAGCAGCTCTGAAGCTTTCCCCACCTGGGCAGGGCTGGATTAACACACAGGCAAACTAGGCACGCACCTAGAGCGCTGAGCTGAGGGGGACTGGCCCTTCCCTCCAAGGTGGTGGCCCTGTCCACCTCTCCTCTCCTCCCTTCCCTTCCCTTCCCTTCCCCTCCCCTCTGCCAGCCTCGGCACAGCAGCTGAGCCCCACCCACTCCCCGTGGCAGCAGCACCAGGGTGGGGAAGGGGGTCTCAACCAGCTTGGGACCCACACATTTGTTTGCCTAGGGCCCAGTAAAGGGTTAATCCGGCCCCACACCTGGGGACAGCAGGGAAAGCAGGTGGGGGGCTGGGGGACAAGGGGAGGGGGCCTGTGTCTCTGAGGACAGAGGGGAAGTGAGGCTTTTCTTCCACTTCGGGGGCTTCTTTCAAAGTCTGCAGAGGCGTGCAAGCGTGTGCGTGTGATTTTTAGGCTTGTTTGCTTTGCCTTCAAGGCTTCACATCTCAGCCTTGAGGGGGAAGCTGAGTCCCAAAGGAGCATGTTGCTGTACAGCCAGGAGGGCCAGAGAATTACTGAGAGCCTAGTGCTTCCCTTCACCCCTGACTCGCTCAATATCATGAGAACTGCCAAAACCACTCAGACCACCACAAGCATCAGGTATCTACTGGGCCTTGCTACCTCCACTCTAACATCCCTGTGCTCCTCTGAACTGCATTGTCTTGAAGCTGGCTGCTGCCAGGCTTCTAAAGCAGGCCTGGAGTGAGGAGGGCAGGTCAATTAATTTTTCCAACTGTCTAGTTGGTCTAATAAAAGATATCACATTTACCCAAAGATTAAGAACCTTGTCTGCCTATGTCCTTAAACCAACACAGCTACAACCTACATCCTCAAAGGCATCAGGCCTCTAAGTCTATGCATCAGGCATTGGTCTATGCAGTTAAAGCCAGTCAGCTGTATTCACTTGTCTTGATAAAAATATATATATATATATTTAAAATTTATGTAGCAGGCTTACCTTTCAGAGCTTGGGCTGAGTCCCAGGTTTGAGATCCTGCTGTTTTGATTGGTGGAGCCCATCCACCAATCAGGAGGCAGTAAGAGAAGTGAAGTCACATGCCTTTCCTGATGGGAGGGAGAGAAGAGCTCCCCTGCTCTCCTGGACCTGATTGGAGACTGCAACACTGTCAGGCTCAGAAGACTTCAGGGGCAGAGCCCTGGAGGGTATAAAAGGAGCTGTGCCTCCAGCAGGGGGAGATGCATTAGGGATGGAGAAGGGCAGGGCTTAGAAGAGCTGAGGAGAGCTGCTCAGCAGGGTATAGCAGTAGCCCCTGAAAACTTCTATCAGTGGGGAGCTACAGATGGCTCCAGTGGTTAGGTTCTCGGTGCACAGCACGGCATCCAGATCCTGGCAGCAGCATGAAGTGGCTCGGGTCTGCAACCTTTGGCGTGCAGCCAGAGACGGTGCACAGGCCAGTGTATGGAGCAGGATCTTTGGAGCCACTTGAGCAGCTCAGGTCCTCAAACTCCGCATGAGGCTGGGAGCTAAGTGCAGACAACACTGCACAGATGGTCCAGGAGCAGACCGAGCCCTGGTGCTGCACAAGGCTGCCCAGGCCTCCAACCCCTAGCATGAGGTAAAGCGCCCACTACATGCAGCGGTGCATGTGGCCCTAAGCCAGGCCAGTGACAGTAGAGTCAGGCAGCAGGAAAACCCAGCAGGGACAGAGCTCAACCTGGAGAACAGGAGGCAACCCTCCGGGACTGTGGAGTAGTAACCCTGGAGAGAGGGTTTCCACAGGGGAGGGACCCCCAGGGTTGTGAAGGGCCACCTCACGGGCTGCTCCTGGGTGATAGCAGGGGGAGTTTAGGAGTCTTTGGGGTCTCCCTCTCCTTTTCTTTCCTTCCATCTCCTTTCCTGTAGTGATACCTTGGGAGTGGGGCCCCTGCCCTGGAGGGCACCCAGGTAGTCTAAGGATTGCTTGTTATATATGTAGCCTGTGCCTTATAGTTTATGTGAATAAGTTGAAGTAATAGTTTGTATATTAATAGAGTTATAAGGTTGCCCGATCAATATCCTTTGTTCTGGGTTGTTCTGTTGTTCACTTGTATTTTTGAATAATGTGTGTATATGGTATAAGGTTAATTGTTTTGTAAATGTGTACATGTGATGGGCTACCTGGTAATGATTTGGCCCAGGGGTTTTGAAAGGGTAAAAGATGATTGGAGGGCTTTGGATTCCCTTTCCTCACCAATCAGGCCCCAGAGATTCACCTTCCATGTCCCCTGATTTGGCCCCTCGGGTCACCTGGAGGGGGATAAAAGGGGCAGTGCAGCCGACTTGAAGACTGTCTCTAGTGGGTTATGGAATAGAGAAAATCCCACACAATTTACTGATTCGTTTTGATGCACTGGCTGGGGGAGTAGTTAGCTGATTGCACGATTTCACAATGATTACACACTTAATTCATACAACACAATTTTATTTTAAAACTCTTTGCTACGTATATAACACTGCTTAGCTTTAAGAAACACCA